AAGCCTTTAGCTCCGCACATTAACCACTAATCCACTACCATTCGAACTTCAAACCTTTAGCTCCGCACATTAACCACTAATCCACTACCATTCGAACTTCAAACCTTTAGCTCCTAGGGTCTGGCACATTAACCACTAATCCACTACCAGTCCAGATCAAGTTTGTGATTACAGATATTACCATAAGTGAACTTATCTGTTTGGATATATTTTTTTAATAAATTAAATCCCGAACTATAACAATTTGCTAACCCTTTATCAGCTTGTGAACCATTTAAATCACAGCAAAACAGCACGTCAAGTTTTCGTCATTTTTAGTCAATTAAAGTCAAACTCTAATTGTTCCATGTCCAAACCAGAGTGCAGTCACGAATTGAGGAACATTTCTATTTATCAGATAAAAGTTAATCAATGCAGCCTCACCCCCCGCCTCCCCCGGTTTATGTTTTATTTTTCCGCGTCTCAAGCATTACGCACAACTTTATTAATGAAGTTTTAAAAATAACCTTCCAAAATGCATGAAAATGTTTGTTTTTTTCTGGTTTTGCGAAATTTTATCCTCAGTCAGCTTTCTTTCAAGAACCCAGTACTTTTGAAACAATTGCATGATGTAACTGGACAAGAAATAACACAAGAGACCACCAGAATCTTCGAGCCAACTTGGAGTGGGTGACCAGGATCCGAATAACACCACTTAGTAGAAGTATTTGAAACATAAACTCGACGTAGTATCTCCTATAACACAGAAATATCGTGATTATAATAACATCACGTAGAGAAGCACTGGAAACATAAACTCGACGTAGTATATCCTATAACACAGAAATGTCATGATTAAAATAACATCACGTAAAGAAGCACTGGAAACATAAACTCGACGTAGTATATCCTATAACACAGAAATATCATGATTAAAATAACATCACGAAGAGAAGCACTGGAAACATAAACTCGACGTAGTATATCCTATAAAACAGAAATATCATGATTAAAATAACATCACGTAGCACTAATAATTTAACAAGAACAGCTGGTTGTTTCAATCTTAAACGCTGAACAATTTCAGTACAGTCTTACGAAAACTTATAATTGAACTTTAACTGAATTCAGTAATGGAGATCGTATCGTTCACGATCGCTTACACACAGAAATATTCAGGAAAAAAAAATTCCAGATTTAACTGTTTATCTAAATAATCATGCTCTGAAAGGACTAAACGATGATTATCAAGTTATTCCACAATTCTGGGTTGAAACATCAATAATACGAGTAGAATTCATCACCTTTATTAATTCGATCATTCTGGACTACAAAACTTAGTTTATAAGTATCATAGCTTATCATGGACTACATACTTTATGAATTCAATCTCTCGGGACTACTTAACCTAATATGTAAATAAGTAACTTAGAACATTATGGATTACTTAACTTTATCAACTCAATCATTCTGGACTACTCAACCTTATGAATTCAATCATTGTGGACTACTCAATTTTATGAATTAAATTATTGTGGACTACTCAACTTTATGAATTCAATCACTGTGGACTACTCAACTTTATGAATTCAATCATTGTGGACTACTCAACTTTATGAATTCAATCATTGTGGACTACCCAACTTTATGAATTCAATCATTGTGGACTACTCAACTTTATGACTAACACAGAGGATTTTGGATTACTCATCTTTCAAATTATTTACATTCTGAATTAATGAACTCACATTATGTGTACTTAGATAATTGCTGTGAACTTATCCACTCAAACTTTTAAGAAAGTTATATCACTCATGTTCTATAAAACTACAATCTCCTTTCGAGTAGCATCAAAAAATTAAAACTCACAGTCTTAATTTCCTTCGAGCTTCTGTAAGCGTTGAGTCGTCTTCTTTCAATACAAACCTTCTGACACCCAAAACGTACTTTTTCATATAGTCATGCAGATCAATTTGACACATGTCAAGATCAAACACCTGGACAGAAATATGTGACGTAAAAAAAGAGGAATTAAAAATTAGCTTGTTGTTTTCTAATATATATATATAATTGTTTGATTCGATATTTCAACTTAGTTTTTATTAAACTATTCCAATAACAAATTATAAATTTTTCGTATTACAACAGAATGTAAAATTCACGTGGAGATAATGCCACGCCATGAATACAATCATACGTCATCTGTCTGACAAGCACAGCCAATCACTTGGCTACTAAGATATTGTTTGACGAATCAGAGAAATCCTTTGATTCTTAGTTTCGTATTTCAAATCCAGTAAATTTCTACTTGTCACAAGTGTTTGTATCAAAAACAAAAAAGTTCAACAAACTTATCAAAGTTCATAAATCTCAAACTTTCTCCGAAATCCAATTAAAAAAAAAGTATAAATCACGTTTCTTGTTCTTTCCCGTTTACACCATTGTTGAGTGACGTCATAACTATTACGTCATACCTTTTTATCTGTGCCTTCCAATTTCCTCATAAGTGCGAGCATGTTATTCGCTTGAAAAGTCCATTCATGCGTGGTAAAATATTCTAAGATGTGAACAGCACGATGAACTCTCTGATACAGCTGGACTAAACTAGATTAAAAACAGGAAAATATTATTCTCAATATTTAACAAGCAATATCACTAGTTATCTTTAAAGATGAACCACGTGCAAAACTCTTGCTTAAGTACTAAGCCTCAATCTAATCAAAGTTGGTTATACATT